ACTATCCAGAAAAGTCAATTATCACAAAATTCAGAGTGTTTCGCTCCCCGGAGAAAGCCTCTGAATCAGCTGAGTGTGTTTGAGTGTGTTGATGTGCTGGTTAGCGTGAGGTTACGAGATGCACGGATCTCCATGGAAACAGACATCAACAGGGCTGTGTTTGGGTTATTGGCGTTGGCTGTTGGATTCGTACAGTGGGAGGAAGGATGTGGAGAAGTGACCTTTCTGCCTGCGTTTGGATCACTTACTCTGCCTCGGTGTGGCCCTGCGGGCGCCGGAGCCAATCTGGGATCCGGAGGCCAAACGCAGAGACTGAAGCGCATCGTGTAGAAATCACTCGAACTGCAAACTTTCAGGAGTCACCACTGCATTTCAATGCACACGCCAATGCTGTAAATAAGCGTTCTGGATGCGAGTGTCTTAATGTTCAGTGATATTATCAACTTTGAAAACGTTGAACTGAATAATGGCACTATTATCTTCTGTAGAGCTGCTTTACAGTTGAAATTTAATATGTTTCATTATTGATGAACTTTGCAACTCTGACATTCAGTTATTGAACTGAATTGAGCTGAAAATGATGTTATTGAGATTGGTAATGAACTTTGCAACATCTGCACTGTTATTGAACTGACTTGAGTTGAATACATTTGTTTCATAATTCACTGTTCAATAACATTGTTGATGTTACAGTTCATCAATTATGGAACAAATTTGAATCAGTAGTAAAGCAGCTCTGCACTCTTTGAAGAAATGGTTCTATTTAGAACCAGAAATGGTTCCATCCCCCGCTTCATATATGGAACTCCAAAATGGTTCTATATAGAACCATTTTTTTTGGTGAAAGGTTCTATTGGCCAAGTATGGAACCCCAGGGTTCTATATAGAACCCAGAGGAACCCTTTTTTTAAGAGTGTATAGAACCTTTTAGGGTTTCCAAATATGTAGCGCTGATAGAACCTTTTAAGGTTCTATATAGAACCTTTTCTTCTAAGAGTGTAAGACAAAAGTGCCATTATTCAGAACAAGTGTTGATTCAGTTTAGTTCAATAATAGTGCAGTTTGTCAAATTATGAGAAGTTTAATTCAGCTTAAGCAGCTCTATAGATGATAGTTGTGTTGTTATTCAGCTCAATTCAGTTCAGTAAGTGTGTCAATGTTGCAGCTCATCAATTATGAATTTAATATAATACTCCTTTAAAGCAGATCTACAGAAAGCAATAGTGTCATCGTTTGAGTTGAATAAATCTGTTTCATAATTTATGAACTGCAACATCGACATTGAACTGACTAAATTTGTTTCATAACTAATGAACTTTGGAACATTCAGACTGTTATTCAGTATTTTTGTGATTGTTGCGGGCAAAAATCCTTGATTATGCGGCCCGTTTTCTTTAAAAATGCGATGGATTATGCAGGATAACTTGCAAAAATTGCGGGAACTTGCAAAAACTGCGGGAACTTCAAAAAAATTGTGGGAACTTGCGGGAACTTGCAAAAATTGTGAGAACTTGCGGGAACTTGCAAAAATTGCGGGAACTTGCAAAAATTGTGGGAACTTGCAAAAACTGCGACAACTAGCAAAAACTGCGGGAACTAGCAAAAACTGCGGGAATTTGCAAAAATTGTGGGAACTTGCGGGAACTTGCAAAAATTGCAGGAACTTGCAAAAACTGCGGGAATTAGCAAAAATTGTGGGAACTTGCAAAAACTGCGACAACTAGCAAAAACTGCGGGAACTAGCAAAAACTGCGTGAATTTGCAAAAATTGCGGGAACTAGCAAAAATTGCGGGAACTTGCAAAAACTGTGACAACTAGCAAAAACTGAGGGAACTAGCAAAAACTGCAGGAAAATTGCAAAAACTGCTGGAACTAGCAAAAATTGCGGGAACTTGCAAAAATTGCGGGAACTTGCAAAAACTGCTGGAACTAGCAAAAATTGCGGGAACTTGCAAAAATTGCGGGAACTTGCAAAAACTGCTGGAACTAGCAAAATTGCGGGAACTTGCAAAAATTGCGGGAACTTGCAAAAATTGCGGGAACTAGCAAAAATTGCGGGAACTAGCAAAAATTGCGGGAACTTGCAAAAACTGCTGGAACTAGCAAAAATTGCGGGAACTTGCAAAAATTGCGGGAACTTGCAAAAAATTGCGGGAACTTGCAAAAACAGCTGGAACTAGCAAAAATTGCGGGAACTTGCAAAAATTGCGGGAACTTGCAAAAAATTGCGGGAACTTGCAAAAACTGCTGGAACTAGCAAAAATTACAGGAACTTGCAAAAATTGCGGCAACTTGCAAAAACAGCTGGAACTTGCAAAAATTGCGGGAACTTGCAAAAATTGCGGGAACTTGCAAAAAATTGCGGGAACTTGCAAAAACTGCTGGAACTTGCAAAAATTGCGGGAACTTGCAAAAACTGCGGGAACTTGCAAAAACTGCGACAACTAGCAAAAACTGCGACAACTAGCAAAAACTGCGGGAACTAGCAAAAACTGCTGGAACTAGCAAAAATTGCGGGAACTTGCAAAAATTGCGGGAACTTGCAAAAATTGCGGGAACTTGCAGAAAATTGCGGGAACTTGCAAAAACTGCTGGAACTTGCAAAAATTGCGGGAACTTGCAAAAATTGCGGGAACTTGCAAAAATTGCGGGAACTTGCAAAAACTGCGGGAACTTGCAAAAACTGCGGGAATTAGCAAAAATTGTGGTAAAAATTGATTCCCCCAACACCTTGTTCTCACTAGTCCACCTCCTTAATCTAAAGAGACATTTCTTATTACTTCCTATGATAAGCAAGCATACTACATCATAAAAAGTGCTGGAATATTTCACCTGGTTTTATTTCAGACTTTAATAAACACATCAGACTTATAAAACAGTTTTGTAGCTTTACAAAAGGAATATGATCCAACTTCTGTAAAAATGAATAAATGTAATATACAAAAATAAAGTGTTTCCTGTTTAACAGGTTTTCGATGATCTTCACGTCGCGTAATTACGTCACTTCATTACGTTCCCATGGCAACAGGGGGAAACGGCTGCTCTCGTGTGAAGCAAACTCGACATTTTTCAACTTTCTGCTAAGATATATGTGACTTTTTTGCAACGAAAATGCGAGGATAATGAAAACATGCAAGCCCTGCATATTTTGCACGGAAATCTGCAATTTATACGGCGAAAGTGCAGCGTATTTGAAAAAATATCCCCGCATAAATATGCGAACTTAGGCTGATTATGCACTAAATCATGCGATCGCATAATCACGTGGGGGGACTGTTATTGAACTGAATTGAGCTTTACAGCTGAAAATTGAATCTGTTTCATAATTGATGAACGACTTGACAGGTGTTGAACTCAATCAACACTGAGCTGAATAACACACTATTGTCTTCTGTTGAGTTACCTTATAGTTGAATATGTACTGTATGTTTTTCTTCCTTTGTCTCTTCCTCAAACTGTTTTCTTTCTGTCAAACACATGCACACATGTGAATATTCAGCACACAAACACAAACGCCAGAGGCCCGCCAGCGTGTCCAGGTAGATGGATGCGTTTGATTGGTCCAGGCTATGATTGGCATTAATTGCCATGGCAGAAGGCATGCCTGGCTTTCACATGAGGTCAACTCTGATTGGCCTGATGAGTCCAGATCTTGCTTCTGGAGGTCTTGAGGCCTGAGGGTGTCCCGAGCGCTGCCTGTCCTAAATTCACCCCACCTCAGCACACTCCACCCGTCAGATCCGCTGACGGCTCGCCGGAGACGAGACACAAGCGGCCACCATGCGCTCGCTGGCGTATGCAGGACTTCTGTTCCCGTCAGATGGTTTCCATTAAGGGCTCCGTGTGATTTGTGTTTACCGAAAGCAATCAGTCTAATTGTGCGACGTCTGCTGGAGAGAAAGACTTCGTTTCCGGTCTTGTTTCGAGTGGTCTTTTGAATTTTCTCCCATCTGATATTTCTCTGTTGTTCATGAAAGACAGAGGTCTGACTCAGCTGTGTAAGAATCCCTTTGTTTATTTGACTTCTCCTTCAGTTTATGCTTGAAAGCAGCAGATGAGCAGGACGTCTTGTGAGACGAGAGTGCAAGGATAAACCCGTTCGATGCAAACTGAGTATCTCAGTGTAATCCACTGGTATTGAAGTTTCAGAAAAACTTTTTTTGATCATAAAAAAATCATTAAAAAATCATATATATGTGAAATTGTCATGCAGTACAATTTTTGATTTGCAATATAGTATGTTTTGTCAAAAATAAACTTATCACCTGTTATACAATGCAAGCTAATTAATGCACATATCAAAATAATGAATCCTTAACTTTGAAATATGTATGATAAAATGTAAATGGTCTACTTTAAAAATAAAACTTTATATGGAAAAAGAATTTTCTTTTCCAGATGTTTCCAACTTTGAACCAATTCTACTCTCTTTGACTTATATTTTGATTTTATATATAAATAAATATGTATGTATGTTGTCCTTTCAACTTTTTTCTTGTTTGACTCACCTGAATGAAAGAAATGTCTTTGTCTCTCTCCGGTGAGAATCACCTAATTATACATGATGAGGGCTGGCCTGTTCACGCCCATTCGCATATTGCCTTGGCAAACAAAAAATGTTTTTCACAATATAACCCAATTCACAGTTTTATGTGAAAGATTAGACGGGATGATTTTTCAGGTCATTGTGAAGTAAAAACCCTAGTCCACAACATCCATTAGTCAAAAGTCTTCTTGTGGACGCATATTTCGTGGCGTTATTTCAGAAACTTTCATTTTTAGTTTTTTCAATAACCACGCATAAATAATATTCTCTCAAAAATACAAACTTGTACATACATGTTGCTCACATATTATGGTAGCCCTGTTTGTGCTAAATATAGTGTAATTTCACCTGTGCCATTAATATGTTTATAAGCAGCTGAAAAAAGCACAAATGTCAGAACATCTCAAAGACCATCTTAAGGTTAATACGAGATCTGTGTCATGTTCTCCTCAGGTGTCGGGGAGTTCGGCGGGTTCTCCGGCCGGATCGTCGGCCTCCTCCGGCTCGTCACGACAGTATTCCCGACAGAGAATCACACGTGTCAATCTCAGGGACTTCATCTTCTACATGGAGCAGGAGCGAGAGACCAGCAGATCTCTCCTTCTGTATCGAGCTCTCCTGAAGTAGTGTACACTAACTGACCTCTGCACACTACAGACCAACACTTCCTTCTCAGCCCTGCGACGTGCCTTCAGCCCCATCAGTGTCCGCGACCTCGTGATCTCAGCGTTGCTCTTCATACGAAAAGGTTTGGGAAGAAAAGAGAAACAACTAAGATGTGCTTCACGTTTCCTGTTTTCTCCTCAACTTTATACGGTCAATTGTATTTATGGTGTGTCTCTGGCTTTGAGCCGAGGAGCGTTTGTTTGTTTGTTTGTTTGTTTGTTGTTTGTTTGGTTTTTGTGTATGAATGAATCTGACACTGCAAATATCATCCCTCTCTTTATCAGTATTTTTATTTTGTTTTGCCAGAAATAGAAAAATTCTAAAAACAAAAAGTTTAGGCGAAAAACAATAGTCTTGAAGTTGTTAGCAAGTTGTTGAACACAACATTAAAAATGGAAGCTTGTCTTTTCTTCCCTGTTGTGAGGAACACATGTGGGCGGGGCTTGATTTTGTCTGTGGGGAATTGATTGGATGGTTGTGGTTTGCTATTGGTTGATCTGATGTGAGTGACAGGTAGCCCCGCCCACATCATCAGAGAAGAGATGTCGCTGATTTTGATTCAAGAATGCACTTGATTTTAAAACAATAATGATGTGCAGTGATAAGTAATTTATCATTAATACTGCATTACTCCATAATAAAATAAGAATCGTGAATTTTGATTTCATATTGAATTTAAAGCTTCACTTTTTCAGCTTCACTACTTTTAGTTTGGTTATGCTGAGAACATTGTAATATTTCATGCATTTTTGCACATTTGTTAGTGTAAAACGAAGTAAATCCTGATGAAGGAGGTGTTTTTGCAGTGCTGATGTCATTCTGCTGTATATTCAACACAGAGCGCTTACAGTGAACGATCTTTGAGACCAAACGCCTTGAAGTGATCAATGTACTTTTCTGTAAAAGAAATTTTGTTCTCTAAACCTTATGCAGACGTTCCCAAACATCATCATCATCAGTGTGCAACCACATGGCAAACAATTATTTACTTAGGATTTTTGTCTTGTTTTCCAGTACAAATATCTAAAAAACATTGCAAATCAAAATAAATTGACTTTGGAAGAAATTTATTTTACTTTTTTTTTTTCAGAAAACAACACTTAATGTCTTATAAAAATGAGGTGAGTTTATGCCTAAAACAAGAACTAATATCTGCCAATGGTGTCAGAAAAATAATCCAGTTTTCCCTTTTGAATTAAGACCCATTTTTCAGACCTCATTGGCAGATATTAGTTGTTGTTTCAAGCATAAACACATTTTGATAAACTTGTCAGGACATCTTCGTTCATTCTGCTCCTCCAGTTAATGCATCTTAATGTGAGAATGTTTATATTTTGTAGCCTACTAGAAAACAAGACAGAAACACTGAGGAGGAATCTATTTGCAGCACAATCACAGTATTAAACACCCCAGAAAAAGCGACTAAAAAACTTTATCAGCGAGACTTTAATGTAAATACACTTTTTGATGAATATTGTTTTTAAAAGCATGTATAAATGGTGTCCACATGATGAAAAGAACGCTTTAAACTCAAGTCTGTATTGAGGAAAGAGCGGTTCCTCCTGAATCCCGATCATGATGCTTCTGTCTGTCGGTGTGTGTGAATGTAATGTGTGTCCGTGAGGAGAATCCCAGACCAGGCTATAGCAATACCAACACGCAAACACACGTCTGACCTCGGTGATGTGAGGGTTTCTGAATCAAACACGATAGTGAACAACACCGTTCCTCATCTCGTCAATCATTCCGTCTTAAAGGGGTAGTTCACCCCAAAAATGTAAACTCTGTCAGTAATTACTCTCCCTCATGTTGTTCAACCCCGTAACCCTTTGTTCTTCTGAACACAAATTAAGATCACTCCTCCATAGTCTTCTAAAGGATTAAAACTTGCCGGCCCAGAAAGTTAGTAAAGACATTGTTAAAATAGTCCAAGTGACTTAATCTTACGTTTTCAAGCGACGATAATTCCTTTTGTGCGCAAAAAACAAACAAAAATTATGACTTTATTCCACTATTCATTTCCTTCTCTCACGTAGTGAGCCTACGTGTGTAAGCCAATAGTGAGCCTATGTGTGTCGACCAATAGTGAGCCTACGTGTGTCGGCCAATAGTGAGCCTACGTGTGTCGGCCAATAGTGAGCCTACGTGTGTCGGCCAATAGTGAGCCTATGTGTGTCGACCAATAGTGAGCCTACGTGTGTCGGCCAATAGTGAGCCTACGTGTGTCGGCCAATAGTGAGTCTACGTCTTTTGGCCAATAGTGAGCCTATGTGTGTCGGCCAATAGTGAGCCTACGTGTGTCGGCCAATAGTGAGCCTACGTTTGTCAGCCAATAGTGAGCCTACGTGTGTCGGCCAATAGTGAGCCTACGTTTGTCAGCCAATAGTGAGTCAACGTCTTTCGGCCAATAGTGAGCCTATGTGTGTCGACCAATAGTGAGCCTACGTGTGTCGGCCAATAGTGAGCCTACGTGTGTCGGCCAATAGTGAGCCTACGTGTGTCGGCCAATAGTGAGCCTACGTGTGTCGGCCAATAGTGAGTCTACGTCTGTCGGCCAATAGTGAGTCTACGTCTTTCGGCCAATAGTGAGCCTATGTGTGTCGGCCAATAGTGAGTCTACGTCTGTCGGCCAATAGTGAGTCTACGTCTTTCGGCCAATAGTGAGCCTACGTGTGTCAGCCAATAGTGAGTCTATGTGTGTCGGCCAATAGTGAGCCTATACGTGTGTCGGCCAATAGTGAGCCTACGTGTGACGGCCAATAGTGAGCCTATGTGTGTCGGCCAATAGTGAGCCTACATTTGTCAGCCAATAGTGAGTCTACGTTTGTCAGCCAATAGTGAGTCTACGTCTTTCGGCCAATAGTGAGCCTATGTGTGTCGACCAATAGTGAGCCTATGTTTGTCAGCCAATAGTGAGTCTACGTTTGTCAGCCAATAGTGAGTCTACGTCTTTCGGCCAATAGTGAGCCTATGTGTGACGGCCAATAGTGAGCCTACGTCTGTCGGCCAATAGTGAGTCTACGTGTGTCGGCCAATAGTAAGCCTACGTGTGACGGCCAATAGTGAGCCTACGTGTGACGGCCAATAGTGAGCCTATGTGTGTCGGCCAATAGTGAGCCTATGTGTGTCGGCCAATAGTGAGCCTACGTTTGTCAGCCAATAGTGAGTCTACGTTTGTCAGCCAATAGTGAGTCTACGTCTTTCGGCCAATAGTGAGCCTACTTGTGACGGCCAATAGTGAGCCTACGTGTGTCGACCAATAGTGAGCCTACGTGTGACGGCCAATAGTGAGCCTACGTGTGTCGGCCAATAGTGAGCCTATGTGTGTTGGCCAATAGTGAGCCTATGTGTGTCGGCCAATAGTGAGCCTACGTCTGTCGGCCAATAGTGAGCCTACGTGTGACGGCCAATAGTGAGCCTACGTCTGTCGGCCAATAGTGAGTCTACGTGTGTCGGCCAATAGTGAGCCTACGTCTGTTGGCCAATAGTGAGCCTACGTGTGTCGGCCAATAGTGAGCCTACGTGTGTCGGCCAATAGTGAGCCTACGTGTGTCGGCCAATAGTGAGCCTATGTGTGACGGCCAATAGTGAGCCTACGTGTGTCGGCCAATAGTGAGTCTACGTCTGTCGGCCAATAGTGAATCTACGTGTGACGGCCAATAGTGAGCCTATGTGTGTCGGCCAATAGTGAGTCTACGTGTGTCGGCCAATAGTGAGCCTACGTCTGTCGGCCAATAGTGAGCCTATGTGTGTCGGCCAATAGTGAGTCTACGTCTGTCGGCCAATAGCGAGCCTACGTCTGTTGGCCAATAGTGAGTCTATGTGTGTCGCCCAATAGTGAGCCTATGTGTGTCGGCCAATAGTGAGTCTACGTCTGTCGGCCAATAGCGAGCCTACGTCTGTTGGCCAATAGTGAGTCTATGTGTGTCGGCTAATAGTGAGCCTACGTCTGTCGGCCAATAGTGAGCCTACGTCTGTCGGCCAATAGTGAGTCTATGTGTGTCGGCTAATAGTGAGCCTATGTCTGTCGGCCAATAGTGAATCTACGTGTGTCGGCCAATAGCGAGCCTACGTCTGTCGGCCAATAGTGAGCCTACGTCTGTCGGCCAATAGTGAGCCTACATGTGTCGGCCAATAGTGAGTCTACGTGTGACGGCCAATAGTGAGTCTACATGTGTCGGCCAATAGTGAGCCTATACGTGTGTCGGCCAATAGTGAGCCTACGTGTGTCGGCCAATAAGTGAGCCTACGTGTGTCGGCCAATAGTGAGCCTATACGTGTGTCGGCCAATAGTGAGCCCAAGTTTGTTGGCCAATAGTGAGCCTACGTGTGTCGGCCAATAGTGAGCCTACGTGTGTCGGCCAATAGTGAGCCTACGTCAGTCGGCCAATAGTGAGCCTACGTGTGTCGGCCAATAGTGAGTGTACGTGTGACGCTCAACACAGAAGCGCTGCACTGAACAAAAGACGAATGAATGAAAGTCTTAGGTGGTTGAACAACACGAGGGAGAGTAATTACTGACAGTTGAACTATCCTTTAAAGCAGCACTACATTATGAAGAAAAACACTTTTCCTTTGGACTGACGCGCACTGATGAATCATTACAATAAGACCAGGAGCATGTATTATGAAAGTATTAGCGCTTCATTTTGATTTCATGTTTTCATTTTTGTCGTGTAAAACTGGATTTCACTGCCGATTCTCGTGTTTAGTGTGTTTAATCTCTCATTTTCACTGCAAAAACATGATTTTCTCACTCTTGTTTTCCAGTTCAATATCTAAACATTCTTACATCAAGATTAGCTTGAGAAGCAAAATGACTGAAAATATTACGTTTGATTTTTACTGAAAGAAATGTATTAACATGTATTAACGCCAGCACACAACATTAAAATGTATTTTTTATTTATTTTATTTATTTTATTTTTTGGGGGGGATAATTTTCACAAAAAAGTTTTACGGGCCCCAGAATATGTTGTTTTATGACAATCTGAACGTACAATATATCAAAAACCTCTGCTTTTAAAGAAAGAACTCGTTGTAAACATTTTATCCTAGCTTCATGGGTTCTTTTTTTATCAATGTATCGCTCATGTTAGTAATGTATTGAATAACGTTAACTAATGAGACGTTAACTTTTTAAAAATAATTTTTCAGAAAATAATACTTAATATCTTAAGCCATTTTGCTTTTAAAAAGTGAGTGTATCTTGATTCAAGCAAGTTTAGATATTTGTACTGGATAACGAGACAGAAATGCATGCATTTGTTCTGCAGTGTATTTCCTTTCAGTGTGCCTGATTAATATTATTTTGAGTTATTGATGTCAGATGTTATGATGAAGAACACGAGTCCTGTAAGCATTAGGTTTGTGAGGGTTCGCCGTACATGATGTCAGGAGAGGTCAAGCTCTGTGACCTCTCTTCTTCTGGACCCTCTCGCTCTTCTATGCATC